ACAAGCATTTTGACAAGCTGTCATTTTCTACATTCTCAGTTTTTGTTTTTACAAATGGTGGATCCAAGGTACAAGATCCAAGTAAAACTTGTAGTTTGTATGAATTAAGGGAGGTTGAGAGGTATGGTCAGGAACATGAATCCCTGATTTATGTTGAAAATTATTTGCCTAAAAAATTTTTAGTGGTTCTCAATTGTCTCTGGGATAAAAATATCAACTTTTTGTGTAGAATTTAAGACCCTTTCCAATCTGGCCTATGGTTTTGATATAGATGATCAGTCTTAACTAAGACCCAGGAAAGGGAAATGACTTGTCCAGGGTCAGACAGCTAAATTTATGGAAGAACCCAGAACCCAGGTGTCCTGACTCTCCATTTGAAGGTTTTCTCATTATTTTATATTGTCTCTTATTAATTATTAATTCAATTATTAATTAATTTAATTATTTGAAGGTTTTCTCATTATTTTATATTGTCTCTTATTAATATCCTCATGTGAATAAGGTTAATATATCACTGCTCTTTTGGGAAAATCTGATTTCTATTGAAGACTCAGAGTAATCAAGGCTTCTGAAGCACAGAGATAATAGTAAATAGTGAATACATCTATTGCATGTTGAACTGATGACCCAGAGAATGTCCCCAGGTGTACTGGGTAGTTCCTTTTTGGAAGACACATGGAATAAATGATACAGACAAGACTGGGACAGGATCACAAGATCATAGATTAGAATTGGAAGAGATCTTAGCAGTCACCTAGTCCAATTCCCTAATTTTATAGATGATGAACTGAGGTCCAGGTAAGTTAATTGATGTCCAAAGCCATCCATGTGCCACTGTCATTGCATGTGCCATTGTGTGTCTGGCATTAGAACCCAGTTCTTTTTCACTGGATTGAATGCCCATAGTCACTATATGATTTTCCCATTGTCATACAGCAGGAAGGGCAGCTAGGTGGCACAGTGGATAGAGCACCAGACCTGGAGTCAGGTAGACTCATCTTCCTGAGGTCAAATCTGGTCTCAGACACTTACTAGTTGTGTGACCCTGGGCAAGTCACTTAACTTTGTTTGCCTCAGTTTCCTCATCTGTAAGATAAGGTAGAGAAGGAAATGGCAAGCCACCGCAATGCCAAGAACACTCCAAATGGGGTCACGAAGAATCAGACATGACCGAAATAACTGATTTTTTGTTATTGTTATTTTGTGCTATAAGAAATACCTCTTTTCTGGACTGTTCTAACAGCAACAACAGGGAAGGAATAACAAACACAAAAGGGAAGGAAACTCATCAAAAGGAATCTCTAATGGTGAAACTTTAGATACTGTGTTACTCAGATCTGGGACATATTTAGGGGGCTACTAGTAGGTTGTACAGAATCAGTCTTTCAAATTATTTTACAAAGATGGCCATAAACTCTGGCTATTCCTATCTGTTTCTTAGGCTGACCTTGGGATATTGTCATCAAATGATACTGGAGAAGTAATTACTAATTTTGTCACTAAGTACTGCTCTTCCTCACTGTGTCCTATATGTTGTGGCAGGGCCCTGGGAAGCAGAAAGTTGAGAGAGAAAGTTCCAACACTGGGCAATGGAAGTGGTGCTTACTGAGTTCACTCAAGGGCACTTTTTTTGGTAAATAGTATTTTATTTTTTCCAATTACATGTAAAGATAGTTTTCAACATTCATATTTTTTAAGATTTTGAATTTTAGATTTTTCTCCCTCCCTCTCTCCTTGCCTCCCCTTCCCCAAGACAGCAAACAATCTGATAAGTTATACATGTGCAATCACATAAACATATTTCCACATTAGTCACGTTGTCAAAGAAGAAACAGAACAGAAGGGAAAAAGCCACAAGAAACACAAAAAGCGAAAATGTCCCGTCCCGCGGGACATCAACAGAGGTCCGGACCTGTAAAAGAAGGAGGGGAGCAGGGGACACAGGAAATGGAGACAAGACAGGCTTTCTGATCAAGTCTCGTTTATTGAAGGCTAGCTCAGGGTAATTATACACACCGTAAGAGGGAGTGGGGGAGTTCCATCACCGGTATAGGGGCGGGGTATTCCAGGAAGAGGTACAGCTTTGTCCGTAATTTGTTCTTATCACAAGGACCACCAAAGGTATAGGGGTATTCC